AAACGACCCTTTCACAGGAACAATAACTTGGATGTGGATCTGACGTTGCTATGCGGGATGCAGTATAAATCAGTCTTATGATGATTCATAAGACATTCAGCTGGGATGTTGCTGTAAAGGAGATCAGGGGGATCCCCAGTTGGACCCAAACAGGTGTGGGTTATCATTTCCTACTACGAATAATAACAGCGTCAAAAAACTTGATGGATCTGATATCATTAGAGCTACATGTCCAGCTACTGTTATCCAGAGGGGAACCATAAAAGGACACATACACACACATCCTGTCCACTGTCTATTGAACGAGCATCTGTCTGACCCCTGACACCTTCCACTTCGACACCGCTTCCTCTCCCACACGTGCAGCTCCGCTACTTGAAGCTTTTCATCAAAGTCTTTCCCCCAAAACATGGAAAAGTCAAAAATAGGAGCGCCCATGAGGTTTCAGTCCTCCGTTCTCTCACATATACACATTTTTAGACACAGAATTATTGAATTATATTGTATTAAATCTCCAACAGCTGCAATCCAATCCAAACTATTCACTATTTCTATTATCAACAAGTCACATGTGTGTTTTTTGTTTTTGCCCCTGACCTCTACCCCTTCTAATCCCCCTTTGGACAGAGGGCATGATGGGGGGATAGCAGAACAGGGATAAAGGTGCAGACCCTTAGTCCTTGTTACCAAAAAGCTTTAGAACAGCTTTACAGCTCATGCAGCCAGACTATAATCTCCCAGACGCTTTAGGCATATGTTCTCAGATTATCCACCTCACTATTCACCCACCCCCCAATAAACAGCTATAGTACAGCCATTATTGTTTACACACACACACATACAGAATATGAGCTTTAGATAAAGTGATGGAATACGGTAAAATGTTCACACATAACAGGAAAATATTTGAAACGCACAATGAAAAGAACAGCATATTTTCTTTTAGTTTAAGGTCAGATTTGAACCGCTGCACCCCAGTGGTGGTTTTGGTTTGGTGTCATTACATTCAGTAGGTCGTGCTCACTGGTGGGAAGCAGGTGAGGGATCTTGTCCTCACAACAGCACTAGTAAACACCCTGATATACTTGAAAACACCCAAAAAAGTGGATCTGATTTTGTTTATACCACACTGGGTATGTGCATAATGCAGGAAGACACGGTCAAGTTAAACTTTATAAATACCACAAAGGGAAAATAGACACGGGCAGGTGACTAAACTTACGTCATGTAGACATTAGCAGCATCGTAAAAAGGGAAAGTATAATTTGAGCCTATCGGTTGTTCTGTCTACGCTGTCTTCTTATGTCCTTCAGGAAGCCAGGCGTGGTCCGTCAATAGCATGTTCTCAGAAACAGCCGCCCTGTTCATTTATTGCAACGAGACCAATGTATTGGCGCAGGGTTAACCCTGGATCAACTTTTGTTTTGTTTTTAAATAAATTTGGGTATTACATGTCTCTATTACATTGTGGTGGTGGAGAGATGAAACGTGGGTGTGAGAAATGCAGCAAAGGTCAGATTCAAATCGGGGACGTTGTGGTTCATGGTCGACTAACCCTCGGTCAATGTTTGCTACAACACAATGCAACGTCATCCGGCAACAGACTGCACTGACCAATCAAGCGTGCCAGAGCACTTTCCTGGCACATTATTTTGTAATGTGAACCTGCTGCGATGACTTTCCAGAGTTGTAAAATCCTGTCTCATGCTGTGTAGTGTTTCTGATGAGTCTTAAAGCTTGTGGATGTAGTTTATTACTCAAACTGGACCGCCTGGATCATATTTCATTTTTGCACCAGCACTTGTAGCAACACGTCCACACCACCAACATATCTCCTTGTGGTTTTTTTTAAACACAAACCTATTTTCAGTCCGAACCCGGCTTCAGCAATCAGCAGGAACCCAGACTGGGAGAGACAGCTTCTCCAAATTGGGAGAAAAAGGGAGAAAACATGAGAACACTTGAGTTCCTCAATATGATGATAGCATTGTTTATAGGTTCATTGTTACATTCATTAATGCATCATGACAAAACCTTTGAGGGTACAAATGGTAGGAGCACAACAACTGACTTGTTACAGAGTCTTCTTGAACACATCACTGCCCCAGCAACAACTACTATTGCTACCACGAAAGCTACAAATTCTGCTCTGCTCTTTTCTGAGAGTGCGATTATGGGGGCACGTCTGGGTCACGTCTCCCATTACACCCTCTCTAGTCTAAGCTCGGGTCTTGTGAGTGACAGAGTGCACCAGCATTGGGACAGACAGACCAGTGTGGGGGGGGTTGCAGGGTGGGGCAGGGCAGGGCGGGGTTGGAGGGAGGTGAAGGGTGGAGTTGGGTTAAGAAGGGGCGGACAAGCAAGCATTGTTTACAGATTCTGAAAGGAACAAAAGAGATGATGAGAGGAGCCAGAAACGCAAAAAATGCTCTAATGACAGGCATCCTCAGACAAATGACACAAAATCCTTCACAGAAATAGAAAAAACAAAACTCTGTGAAGGCTATGAGGGAGACTCAGGAATGTGATATGAGGAAGATGAAAAATCTCAATCATCTCATCTTATTATTGGGTGCGATAAATCAAAATCTCGTATTTCATCTTTGGCACCGAGTGTATTCTCAAATGACAGAAAATGAGTGGAAGTATGGAGACATGAAAGAAAGACCGTAAGAATTGAACTGAAAATAGTGATGCAATTATATGCAAAGAGCCGCACTGCCTACTCAAATTAATCAAAACAGTGTTGAGGTTTCATTGGTTGGGGAAATTAAAATGTAGACGATTGAGCATTGTTGGCTGTCATGTTCTTGGACTGCAGCTGAACCTTGTCAAGGAACAAGAAGAAGAAGAAGAAGAAGGCCTGTATACACGCAGAAGACTCCATTCAGAGACCAAAGGCAAATGGCTCGGTGAAGGCGCTTTGGACGGTGCTGTGGGAATTCACCCTATTTGAGATGCAAATTCCTCAAAGAGCTGAAAGAGCCGGAGAAACAGGTGTCCAAGGAAGTGTGCTGCTGCGTGGGTGAGTGAGGGCGGGAGTGAGGGTGCTGAATGATAACACAGGGTGTATTGAAATCCCTGCTTGTTCAGTCCAGGCTGTGTGGCACCTCTTCCCTCGTCTCATTGTCTTGGTTTCATGTTAAGTAGGCAAACGAAGGGGGATTTGTTGTCAGTGTAGAATGGGAAAATATGACAGTTCTGCAAAAGCCAAAGGTTTCATATTTTATTCATTTAAATGTAGTTTGATATAAAACAGCTTGTAGACGTAGGAAATTGATTTCAAACCAAATCAGCACACTGATAGAAACAGCAGTTGCAGATTTACAAGCCTCACATTTAATTGAAGTTCTCTTTCATCATAAATGATTAGTAGTAAGGAGCATCTCACCATCCCAAAGGAGTTTTTTATTTCTATTTTTTTTTTTTTGGATGGATACTGAAAATAAATCCTCTCATAAAAATCAACATAAAGTTTTTAGATGGCTAAACACATCCTGTATATCCTATAACCTCCAGAACGAGTGATCTGAATCTCTGAATGAAGCTCAGTGGCACCCTTTCTGTGACAGTATAAAAGTTCCTGGTAGAAACTCAACTGATACTGATACTTTATGTTGAATAAATGTGATCTACAGAAAATATTTAAAATATTACAAGCTCAAGAGGACATGGCAGGTAAACAGTACTTCCTAATAAACAGAAAATAAACCCGTAGCGTATATTTAAAAAGGAAAATCTCCACAGTGTTTAAAAATCAACACACACCCACAACCATTTTCTATTATAAAAACTTTGACAATCTGATATACAGTGACACGTAACTGCTGATGAAGGAATTTCCTGAACTTGGACTAAAATGTTGATTGCTTATAAATTCACTACTTCATTATTTCTTCATTTTAACATCTCAGATAAAAGAGTATCAACAGATACTCTGGTCAGTATCAAAGGTTTATGGATCTCTTTGACTTTTAATATCTTTTGTTGCTCAAATGTTTTTTTTCTTTCTAACCCTAACCCTCACATGTGCAAATAAAACCCTGTGGGGTCACTGCTGAAGATTATAGTTGTACATTACTTGGACTTCATGATTTGTTTTGATTTTGGACTTTTTAAAGCTTATTCAAAGCAGTTTTGTCAACAAAGGCAGCACCAGGTTTCCTGGTTTATGATGTAAAAATAATTAAAAAATGGACAATAATGGGTTAAGATTCTATGGTTGCTTTTTCTTTGATAGTAAAATAAGATATATTTTATATATAAGATATCTTAAGTCTAAAGGACCCACAAACCTTTAAGCATAATAGTAAAAAAAACAACAACTTAGTATTAGCGTTCTTTAAAATTGCATTTTACCATTTCTCATACACAACATAAATATAAACCAAACGCTCTCCCAAACTGACAACAATCAAATCCTGTACACTGTATCACAATATGATTGAATAAACAGCTTGGACTACATATATCTTATAAAATATGCATCAAAAATCTTTGGCTTAGTGACACAAAATTTCCCTGCACACTTTTTCCTTCATTGGAGAGATTTTACTCTGACCAGACTGCTGCTGCTGGTCACTGCTGATGCTGAGGGATAATCTCAGGACGCCCTCAAGTGTTCAAAGACAGCATAGACAGACTCGTGGATGCAGCCGAACTGTCACAAGACTGTGCTAAACACTGTTTCTCACTGCGTCTGTAACGCAGTGCGAAAGACTGAGTCTAGCAAAGCAGGACGGATATGAATCTCTGCGTTGGCAACGTAGTGACTAATGCAGGCAAAGAGGAAGACTATAAAGGCAAAGTGCTCTAGAAAAGACCTCGTCAATTACGACAAAATCAGACTTCATTTATAAGAAGGGAAATAACAGAGCACTGCTTCTAAGAGGTAAATAGCAGCAGTAGCTGTTAACAGCGAGTCAGCGAGTGTATAGCCCCACATGTTCAGTCATATGAAGCTAACAGCTCCAGTTACTCCAACAGGCTTAAAACTCATAGCACTGACAGTATATACAGACATACATAGACATGTGTGCAAAAGGCTCATAGTCGCCACCTGGTGTTGCTCCCTGGCAATTAGACATTTCTGAGTTCCATTACATTTTTAAAAATGTACTATACTTTTAAAATTTCCACGACTGTACTACTTAGTTAAAAGTGCAGTAAACAATAACCTGTGTAAATTAAATTACACTGAACATGTGTATTATATATGCAAACGAGTATTACAGATACCTCTTAGTAGTCTGAGCAATGGCATTTTTTGCCAGCTTTAAAATGTGATAACTTCTACAAAAATTTAAAAAGAAACTTTTTCTGGAGTGTCATGGTTGTAAAAATAGCCATTTCACTAAAAGGGCTACTACAGACACACTATGTCTCAGAAAGGTTAGTCATGTCACTGACAACTGTGAAAAAAAAAAAAAAACTGTGAGTGTCACATGTTAAGGTTGTATGGATTGATTAACGTGTGTAAACTGGTGACACTTACCCAGCTACAGATAAGTGTCATGCTCTGCACTGCTCAGACTCTCTTTGGACCCTTGTACAGTCATGTGTTTGAGGGGGGGTGAGGGGTCACTTGTAGGAAGGTAAGGATTAACAGGCTTCTCCTGTGGTGGTAGGATTGTTTTCTTCTGTTTTTCCTCTTTAGTCTTTCTGCTTTCCTTGGCGTCCTCTGCTCTCACCCCATCTGTCTTTGGTGCCAGGGGAGACTCCACGATGATGGTGGGCCTCTGTCTGAGGTCCTGTCGGCTGGGTGGCTCGGCAGCCATGATGGCCTTGGCGCCGTGCATCCTGGGAGGGGACTTGCAGTGTAGATCGCCATGAGTTTCCTTCCAGCGCCGCAGCTGAGCATGGTGTTCCTTCTCAATGTCTTTCTCAGACACCAGTAACCCAATGACCTGAAACACAAGGGATGAATGAGCGTGAATCACATGTGAGTTATGCCCGGCTCTCTTGGGTGAAGTATTCCAGCACATTACAGGTAACTATTTCTATTGCTGTTACCAAAACCACAGGAGGGCAAAGTCAAAAAAGGGCAGACAGAGCGTGCCGAAGGTGCTGAGTCAGAACAATAAAATGGATAACACAGATTACAAGCATGACAGGGTATAAATGTACCTCGTGCACCAGGAAGCCTTCTTGCATGTACTGTGGCTGTATAGCTCGGAGCAGCTCCATTGTTTCATAGAGACCTTGACAGGTCTTTAGTTTCTCTTGGGATCCCAGCATGCATTTCAGGAGAACCAGGCCCACTCGGAAGATGATCTTTACTCCTGAAAACAGCATAAATCAGACAACATGCACCTCAGTTAAATTTTAATAGAGGGATAAAAGTTGATAATTAGCAGGATAACTGGTGTTGCCACATGCATTGGATGCAACTATCTTGCAGTGTGGTAAATTATTTCATACATATTCTCATATTCCTTATCCCAAACTAAAACAGTAGATTAACTTGATGTTTTCAACATTTGCCTTTAAAGGTGATGGTGTTTTAAAAGTAAAATGAAACAGCAGGATGAGCACATAACGGCCCGGAGGAAGATTAAATACTGCTACTCGTGTATTTAAATTAAATACACACAAAAGTCTGTTATGCCTGATGTTGTGTATTTAACTTCATTTTTAACAGGTAAAACAGGCAGCCGTAACAGACTAATAATAACAGAGACGTGTATTAAAATAAAAACATTTGACCAAAATGCTGACCTTAAGTTAAATTAGCTTAATCAGGGGCTTTATCTCTTTCCCTTTTCCTTGAGTTCATTCTTCTGGAAACATCACTTATAAACAACAAATCACAATAAATGTCTGTTCTGTCTTATACGATCACTTCTCACATCATTCTCTCCTCTAAAGGATTCACCTGATGTAAACACAGGATGTGTTTGCTTGGTGTGCACTCAGTCCTCGATTCTACATCAAACAAAGCTGCTGTCTGTGACCTCAAAGTAATGGTTTCATTTCTATTTCTAGCCACTGAAACACATTGTAATAATACGCATTCATTCATGATCTAATCTCTGTATGAGTGACTTGACTTTTCATTTGCCGTAATAATATATCAGTGTTCAGCCTCACCCTCACAAAGGAACATGTCCCAGACACGCAGCACTGAGGCCCACGGCAGAGTCCGAGAGAAGGCACACATGAACCACTCGGTCATGTACAGGATGGGCTCCAGCTTGTGCTTCTTCAGGTGACGGTGGGCCACAGGAGAGACCCGCCGCAGCAGAGCGTACAGTATCTCCCCGTCGAGCTGGATCGCCTCCTGTGGAGACAACATGGAACAGCAGTCATTGGAGAGAGAGAGAGAAAAGAGAGAGAGAGCGAGAGAGAGAGAGAGAAAGACGGTAATCTTATTGTCTGATTATCTCGTCCTTGTAGCCTGGTCACCACCTTGTGTTATTAGGTTGTTAGCATATCAGCGTGAAGCTAGAGACACACTGGCCTGAGAAATCTAACACCACCACAAGCTACATATTACGTGCACCGACTAGATAAACTGTAGTTAACTGACAATTTTGTTTTTCGCTGCAATAGGAACCTTAAATACTGAAACAGAATCCACATAGGCAGGAAATCTGGGGCTGTGTAATTCCTGGAAAATATAAATAAATGCAAGTATTCAGTCCTCTAAGTATATAGAAAGGCAGTCTTCAAAAACGGTTTCCTCGGGTATTGCTATTATGGGTATACTTTTGCTTACAACAGACAACAAAATTGTTTTAGCAAATACTTTAACTACGAACTACTACTACTATAAGGTTCAGTAGATAATAATTGACACACTGAACACTGTGAATATTTAATCCTATTACAGATGACGCTCAGATTTTGTCAAGCACTTTTTGATATCTTGATATCAAAGTCCCCATTGCAAAACAGTGTGACTGTGTCTGCACCCTTACCAGCCCTGTACTGTAGTATCCAGGAAGGTATTTCTCACAAATCTGGACAAGAACCCAAAATGCATCCTAGGACAAAAAGAGGAAATGGACAGGTAAGCATTATTCAGCAATATTCAAGAGAGCCACCTGATTAAATATACTGTAGAGAGTGTCCACTATCAAATATATGTTATATCATATTAGATGTTTAATCCCTAGTGTGTTCACCTCTGCTGGCATATGCATCAGGAGTACAGCAGCAATGGGAGCCTGAGCCTGACAATAACCCTCTTCAGGACGATGCAGAGTATAAGCCTTCAACACGCGGAACAGGTCCTGCTGCCTGAATGTGTGAAAATAAATTAAAACCATATTCAGTCACATTAACACAACAGTGGCCATCATGACAGGCATTTAGAAGGCTTACCCATGACCTCCTCTCGCTGCAAACATTTCATGGAAAGGGAACTGTCGATGGAGGTCTCTCTCAATAATATCTACCCATTTAGGATCTCCTGGCTGATTGTCCAGTTCCTAAAAACACAACATCATTTTGTTAGCTTTTGCAACATTATACTGGACATTTATGAGCCATTTCCCACCAACCAACATTTTTTTATTAGCAATTCTTTAATGCAGGCAAATTCTGGAGGTTGAAGCCTCGGTGGAAGTGAAAGTTTGACTGACCTGGAATTTGCCCTGGTTTTGTTCCCTTCTCACTTTCCCCCCAGTAAGGTAGAGCCAGGCCCGGCCACGCAAGGAAGGAGGGATCCCCTTCTGACAGCGCTCTTTCACCTGTTATTCAACACACGCACAATTACTCAAGAGCCCGAAAGAGAGGAAGAGACAGGAAGAACAGGAGAAAGGAACACAGGCACATTCGAGGACAGTACTGCAAATACTGCTGCGTACAACACGCCATTGTTGCGCAACTGTTCATCAAAGATAACATTTAAAAAAAACCTGGCGTGATGATGGAAGGACTACAGGTTTCAAAATGAAGTCATCTTGTTCATTTCATCTTTTTACAAACTGTCAAACGTCTTGTTCCAAAACAGCCCGGTTCACATTCCCATTACAGAAGAAGCAAAGACGTGAACTCGGACCTAAATATACAGTTTATAAATCAGACCTTCTTGTGTTTTTTGGCCATCCACTTGTCCCAGCTGTTGAGCATCTCCAGCCATTTTGCCTCCCGCTGCCTCAGCACCTCAGTGGGGATTTCTTCAGCACTGTGAAGGCACGAGACAATTGTCACAGATAAATCAAACTAATTATTTTCATACCAACTGGCAGTGAGCGTACTGTACTGCGTTACTTTCCTGTACTGGATTGGAAAGTGGCTCATCTCTTCCTTGTCCACACAGGAAACCTAACCTCAGACAGTGGAGCACTTGCCAACGGCAGCAAAGCACAAGGAAAACAGGAAGCTGTGGGAGAACTTTCCCCTGGTTCAGTTCCCTACAACGTCCTACACAAAACTTACACTAATATCTCACCTCGCTACAGGCCCGACTGGATACGTCATGTTGTTATACATAAGCTTTCCTGTCCTGATGTACCCAACACATGCCTGGTCTTCTTGGCAAGCACATTGAAACAAATACATTTAAAGAGCTGACTCACGTTGCTTTTTGCATACGTTAGCTAAAGAACGCAATCTGCCTGGTTTGCACAGTTCTTCCGGTGTCACTTATTTATATTCAATACAAGCTTAATACACGTGTTATGCAGGTCCAAATGACAAAGACTCAAATCTGGGGGCCACAACAGCAGAGGCCCAATTCCCCCTTGCACTTAAGTCCATTGATTACCTTAAAAACAAACAATTTTAACAATTAAAATTAAATCTATACTGCTACTGGAGGCCAGTGGAGACAGACCACAGGAATAATGTGGTCTCTCTGGACCTACGCAATGGTTCCCAATTGGAAGTTGGAAGATAACTGACTGAAAATGGGAAAATAAACACATTATGTTTCATTTTCTGGATAATAATGGACACTTTCCATCTTCATGGTACAGAAGGAGGCCATCATTATCAGTGCACAACTTATAAACACATCTCCAAAGAGGTCAGAACTATGGATCTAGGGGGCAAGAAATCTATAAACTACTATAAATCAGTGTAACTAGCAAAGTCCTTTATCTCCCTTTTTTCCTCACAAACAAAATCAATTCAATTAAGAGCAACCATGAGTGTTTTTCCTCCTGGGAGAAATGACAGCTTCTCCCTTCAACTCAGTGCAAGAAACCCCTCTGAGGAAGTATGGGGGGAACACTAATAAACTCAGTTATTAAGATAGATAATAAAGCATTATGAAGCTGCACTTACGAGTCTCCCGAGTGCTGCTGTGCTCCTCCAATGAACCCGTACTTGTCCACCTGGTTGTCCCCGGGGACGACACCGCCGTTTACCTCTGGCTCGGATCCATACGAGCTTCCTCTCCCATTATCTGTCAGCTTATCTGTGCTGCCCCGTAATTCAAGTCCATCTCCCTGCGCAGTTTTTGCCATTTAATCCACATTTACCTCTTAGCGGACGCTGCCGGTCTACAGTCGGTTCACATAACTCACATTTACGACTTTAAGCTCTCCGTGAAGACGCCCGCCGCTAAACTAACCGACTGCCACAGCTAACGTTAGCTACGGTCGCTAGGAAGATTTGCTTCCAATTGGTCAAGTTATCACAGACCCACAAATATACACACAAATAAACGCTAAATTCATGAATTAATTAGGACGGTATCTGCTTGTTAACTCCGAAGCTAACATGCCAGCGTCACACAACAGTCAGCTGACACCTATTTCATCCTGAATCTCTGCTGTCAGCAAGAATGTGGGTTAGCTGGTGGCTACAAGGAAGAGAGGGTTGAGGCAGATTAGTAAACAAAACATCCATGGCATCCTTTGACTCTACACTGCCACCTGCTGCTGGAAACCACATGTCCAGCTACAGCATTTAACCCCTGTTGTTTATTAGCTCAACTTAGATATACTATGGTTTGTATGTTTATATACTTCTGAGGTCATTTTCATGGCATAAGATGTCACAGTAATTTGTCTTGACTTTATTTTGTGATTTTAAGTGCGAGGTGCTGAAGATCACATGTATGTAGGTCCTTTTTAGTTTAAAACTCAGTGTTTGTTAGGTAGTAGGTACATTTAAAAGTAGCTATGTTCAGGCTACTTTCACTCACCAGTGAACTAGAGAGATGTGAAGAACAGGAGAGGTGAAATTGTCTTTAATATATACTACTTTTGTGGCCCCTGGTGTTAAGAAGTACTTAGATCCTTGACTCAGGTTTAGTAGTAATAGCACAATGAACAAAATACATGTAAAAGTCCTGCTTTCCTCATTTTAATTCAGCTAAATTTACTTTAAATCTTGCACACATAAGCAGATTGGGCTCTTCCAAAGTGCTATAGTGATATTATTGGATTATTGATGCATTATAAGCAGCATGTTATCGTTGTAGCTGTTTTGAGATGGGGCTAATTTAAACTGCAGTATACTCCTTAGTACTTTTTATTTGTCAGTCATGTTTGTAAAAGATTCCCCTTAGATATAGTAAAGTAACAAAAGCAAAAAACACCTGGCATATACTTTTGTATACATGTAAACGGTCACTGTTACTTAACTCTGGATGTTTAAACATAAAAAAGTTCTTATTTATACACGTTATCAATAATTTAAGCTATAAAACCTTTGCTGCTGCTGGAATACCTCAGTAATGTTAACCTGCTTCAGTACTTGCACCAACAGCAGAGGATCATAGCAAACAAAATCATAAAATACAGACCTTTTATCATCCGATATTGAGGATACAGCTGAAAAAAGGTTCCCATTTTTTCCAACCACACTAGAGTACACTTCATCAAAGAGGAGTACATACGTTTCTGAAAATGAAACTCTCCAAATGTGGAACGGCATCATGAAAATACTCAAACAAGTTTAGTATAAATACTAGATTCTTTATTTAAATATTGTACATATTTTAAAACATATTTACATAAATCAGACCTGCATTGTTACACTGTAGACATAGCTGTGTCTTTCATACACACAAACATTGCTTGCTGAAAAGAGGACAATCATACCATACAGACTGCAGAAGCACCTTTAAGAACGGCTTTACAGGAGATAGACGGGCACACTTCATTTACATCAAACACTGGGCATCATGACTGAGACGAGACAAGCTTGCAATGACAGGAAAGGCCTCTTGATTACAGGTCTAGCTATTTGTTAAGGCTGAAACTGTGCTCACCATCATACTGTATGTTCACAGCACCATTACCCATCTCACTCCTCCTCCTCCTCCTGCATGTGGGTTACACCTCTGTGACAATTATAGGGCTATCTTTGAAGTAAATACAAGTTCAGAACCTTTATACACCATCTATAAACCGTTTCTAAAGACAAGAAGAGACTACAACTGAGTGAAATTCACTTTGTTAGAGGGTGCCAATAGCGGAGACAGAAACCATGCAAAAAAGAACGGTGCATACAGTAAGACCGATAAGATTGTAATAATTGTCTCTATTATGTGTATGTGGAAGAAACACCGTGTTATCTTTACAGCAGAGCTTACAGAGTAG